AGAGAAATTTGACAACGCTATCCTGCTGGCTTTAACGATAGAGTAGGTGCCAAGTAATGAGGCAGCCTCTGGAAGCTGGAAAATGCAATAAAATGGATTTTCTCCTGGAGCATCCAGAAGGAACACTTTATTCTAGCTCAGTGAGACCCATTCTGGACTTCTGACCTCCAGAAGTGTGAGATAACAGATCTGTGCTGTTTTAAGCTACTAAGTCTGTGGTAATTTGTTAAAGCAGCAACAGGAAACTAACACACTTCTTATCTGTAATTTATCATGTATTAACAAATGTGGTATTTTATTTTGTCCCTTATCTATTTATCTATCTCTGTACCAGTGCCACTCTGTTCTAGTTACTATAACTTTATGGAAAGTCCGCATATCAAGAAAAATGAATCCTACCTTCTTATTCAAAATTGCCTTAGCTATTCTTGATTATATAGTTCTTTAATTTAAATATGTATTAAAAGAAAATAAATGCAGTGCACAGGGGGAACCATTCCAATCAGAGAACATTCCAGGCAGAGAGCAGAGTGTGAGCTGACAACTTCAAAATCATGAAAACACATGACATGGTTACTGAATCACAACAGCACAAAGTGACAGCTAGGAAAAGTTTCAAAACCACTGGACTGTCATTCCTGGCAGTGTATGATTTCAAAAGCCTATACCAAAACCAAACCCACTGCCATCGAGTTGATTCCAACTCATAACAACCCTACAGGACAGAACAGAACTGCCCCACAGGATTTCCAAGGAGTGTTTGGTGGATTCGAACTGCTGACCTTTTGGTTAGCAACCAAGCTCTTAACCCCTGCGCCGCCAGGGCTCCTCAAAAGCCTGTAAGCCTATTAAAAGTAATTGAAGACTTCCACTACTTGCCAAAATGAAGAAACAGTGACCAGATTTACCATCCTATTTGAAACAAATTTTAAAAATGGACAAAATATATAAAACCACAGTTTTCAAGATACCAGACTTCAGGCAATAAAGGACAGTGATCCTGAGAGACAGGGGAAAAAAAAAGAGGACAGCCCTGTGATTGCCCCAGCTGACCACGTTGAGTGAGTCTCAAGGTCATGGCGCAGGGAGGGAGAGCCCAGACAGTGCACAGTGGGCTCCCTAATTTGCAAAGACAGAGCTGAGAGTCCAGGGAGTCCAAGAAAGCTACAGTTTTCAGGACAGAGTACTAGACAGAATGAGCTGAGAGCTCTGAACATTCGCTGAGAATCCCCCTCTAGAATTAAGCAGAGTAATGATCAGAACTGATCAGTAATGACCAGAAAGTAACAATCAGTTAATAACCTCACAACTGGACCAATAAGCAACATCATGACAAATGGAGAAAATATTAAAGTTGTAAAGGATTTCATTTTACTCGGATTCAAATCAATGGCCATGGAAGCAGCAGTCAAGAAATCAAACCACGCACTGCATTGGGCAAATGTCCTGCAAAAGATCTCTTTAAAGTGTTAAAAAGCAAAGGTGTCACTTTAAGGACTAAGATGCACCTGACCCAAGCCATGGTGTTTTCAATTGCCTCATATATATGTGAAAGCTGGTCAATGAATAAGGAACAAGGAAGAAGAATTGATGTCTTTGAATTGTGGTGTTGGCGAAGAATGTTGAATATACCAGGGACTGCCAAAAGAATGAACAAATCTGTCTTGGAAGAAGTACAGCCGGAATGCTTATGAGAACCAAGGATGTCATGTACTTTGCACGTTATGTCAGGAAGGACCGGTCCTTGGATAAAGACATGATGCTTGGTAAAGTAGAAGGTCAGCAAAAAAGAGGAAGACCCTCAACAAGATAGATTGACACAGTGGCTGCAACAATGGGCTCAAACATAACGACTGTGAAGATGGCACAGGACTGGGCAGTGTTTCATTCTGTTGTACATAGGGTTGCTATGAGTCGGAACCGACTCAATGGCACCTAACAACAACAACAATGATCAGAAAACTACTCTAAGGCCAGGTGAAAAAAAACACCTGAAAGGGTTAGAGGCAGCAGTACCCAGTGTTCACACAGGGCCAGAAATGGTGCCCTGTTCCCATCAGCCAGACTGGTAAACCTCATAATTCACAAGGCACTTGGCATACTACTCAGAAGGGTCCTGTCACCTTAGTGAGGAATAATTAAAGCTAGACTAAATGCTGATCTTGTCCCACCTAACAAATCTTAAAAGCAAGACAAAAAGTATCAAACTGTTTCCAAGGCTCAAGAATATTTATCAATTACAAAAATATCCAGCACCCAACAAGATAAAATTTACAATGTCTGGCACCGCTCAAAAATCATTACGCATGCAAAGGAGCAGAAAAATACAACCCAAATAAGGAGAAAAATCGATTAACTGAAACTAATCTAGAACTGACAAAGATGTTAGAATTAGCAGACAAGAATATTAAAACAGATATAACTACATTTCATATGTTCAAAAAACTAGAGGAAAGATGGAATATGTTAAGTAGAAACAGAAGATTTTTTTTAAATACCCAAATAAACTTGTAGAGATGAAAACTACCATATTTGAGATGAAAAATATACTGGATGGGATTAAAAGAATATTAGTCATTGCAGAAAAAAAAGGTTAGTGAACTTGAAGCCACAGCAATAGAACTATCTAAAATGAAACACAGAGAGAAAAAACACTTTAAAAAAAAAATGAACAGGACATCACTGAGCTGTGGGACAACTTCTAGCTGTCTAATATATGTGTAATTGGGACCCTCAAAGCAAAAGGGAGACCAAGACAGAAAAAAATATTTGAAGAAATAACAGCCAACAATTTTCCAAATGTGATGAAAACTATAAAGCTAGACAGACATTCAAGAAGCTCAATGAACCCCAAGCATGAAACCAGTTAAAGAACAATTCTGAGGAAATGTAGGTAGCAGCAGACAAGTTTTAAAATCTTCAAATGACCTCATGAAAACAGTCAGAACAACTGGGAAAGTAAAGCCAAAAGGCCACAGACAACATCCACAATCGATCCAGGCAAAAAAAAATCAAATAACTGGACCCTCACATCATAGTTTATAATTAATTTAAATGTAAGTCCTTCAAACATAACTAGTTCATAATTGAAATACTTGGTAAATTCTCATCCAAACATTTCTGTGTAGGAAAAAAGGATGTCTCAAAAATTCCTTTTATTTTTAAAATGTAACTGTGAATATATGTCAGAGAAGATAATAGATTTAAAGCAGGGGATGGGTTAGAAATAAATCTGACCCTTTGCTTAGTATTTTTAAACTATGTATTCTATGTCTCCAACACTTTCAACGTTATCAAAAACATTTGGAAATTTATTCTAAACTGACTCTGACAGAAAACGCAGTCTACCACCCACCACTGCGAGGGATTCTAGCAGATATTCTGGCGGTATCTCAAGTACAAGGGGTGCTGTACATTTCAATACCACTTATAGAAGATGTGACTATTAAATGTACACATTGGTGTTAATCAGCAACTCTCAACAATCGGGTAAGTACAATATTCAAAAATTGAAAGAACAAAACCATCAAATGGACTGTCTTTCTGAAAAGAAGGAAAATGCTTAGTGATATGGTTTCTTGCAGAGTGGTCAACTATTAAATCTTGCTGCCTGAATAGTCTTAGATACATCAGACAGTCCTGGATGATCATGAAGATAAAGGCCAGCACATTAAGTTCCAGGTCCCAGAAACAAGTGTTCTGCTCCCACCCCTTGGGAAAATTAAATTTGACAAGAACAGTTTCCATAAATGAATCTCAACTCAGAAAAAACCATTCCCAAATTACAGAATCACTAATGCCTTTATACCAGCACTCAGGAACCCCAGCAAGAAAAACTGGCAAAAAGAAAGAAAGAAGAGCCCTTCCTGGAAACCTGCATATTATCCCGTAGAAGAAAGCTATCAGGAGGATGGATGAATGCTAAGCTCCTCTCAGCGGGCTTGCATGTCGCTTCATTCCCTACCTTTATGTCTGGAATCTGGAGACAGAAGAGAGGAACCACCTCTGATCTAGGGCTTCTAGAACATTCTTTCAGCTGGCTAAATCTCCAGAAGCACAGAGCCAAAGGCTCAATGCTCAATCAGGGTGAACTTCTCAAACACTCCCTTTTAACTTCCACTCTTTCTTGGTAGATGGAATTCTCAACCAGGACACCAGTTTTGGCAGTCCTTGGGTATAAACTAAGGAGCCCTGGTGGCACAGTGGTTAAGCACTAGGCTGCCAACTGAAAGGCAGCAGTTTGAACCCACCAACCACTCCACGGGAAGAGATGCAGCAGCAAGGGCATAGCAAGGGTAACAAATGCCCAGAGCAATCTCTAAGTTGCACCCCCACCCACCCAAATTTCAAGATGAATAGATGTTGATAGCAGCGACCCGTCAGCAGAAACGCCCTCCCCCCTCTTGTTTGGCTGCCTCAGTCAGGTGACTTTCATATTTGTGGTGCCTCAGAATGTCATTCCGTGCCTCGTCCGGTGCCCCCTTGGACTTGTGCTCAGGGGCAAGTGTCATGCCTCCCAACTCCCACCCCACGCAGAGGCGGCAGTCTGTTTCCATAAAGATTACAGCCTTGGAAACCCTATGGGACAGTCCTACCCTGCCCTGTATGGTTGCTACGAGTTGGAATCGACTTGACAACAGGTTTGGTTTTTTGGTATGAACTGAGAGACACTGAACACAAGGTACTGGCCACAGCAGAGCCCCAGTCAGCCAACCAGATACCAAACTAATAACCAGCAACAGCTCTTTAACCACCTACATGCATGTGGAATATGTCACCACCCATGCGGCAAGGGCTGGAACTCTGCTGGCAGCCCTGGCTGCCTGCAGCCAGTTCTACATCTCAATATTAAGCAAAAACTCAGTTAACTGATTCCAATTACAGCAGTCTGCAGCAATTATCCTCTAAGTCTGATGATTACTATACTGGACTATCCTTCCTCGGGAACAGATGGAAGTCATGCTGTGTGCTTGAGAAGTGAGCTCTCTGCAAACACTTACTTGAAGGCGACGTGGGTGGCTTCTTGGAGGACTGCCGCCGCTCTGCCTTGGTGCTGCTGGCCCGCTCCAGAGACGTGTCCAAATGTTCTTCCGGGCTGAGCGAGTACTGGAATTGCACTGTCCCCGACTCTACCTGCTTCACCTGCAGTAAACCATACCAAGAACAATGATGCTCAGTGAAGGAGCCTGCACACTCCCTCATCAGCATTCTTCTAGCAGTATAACTCAACCAGGAGCAATTCTCCCAGCCCTAAGACAAGGTCTATGGAAAACCAAGGACTTCTGAAGTCACATGTTCTTAGAGTATAATCAAGTAATTTTCTGAGCAGAAAACCATCTGCTGTGAAATTAAAATCCCAGAAAGTCATATTACCATGGCATGACCCTTCCATAAGTAGAAATCATGGTGTGTCTCCAGTTTGAATGTTGGTTTTTATAAATTAACCTATGTAAACTTGACTATGCATTTTAACACTGTCGATTCATGGAGTACAATGAGAATACAGAACAGCCCTGTCACCCTAAAACATCGCCTTGGGCTGCCCTCTATATAATCATGCCCTCCCTCAACCCTAACTCCTGTCAATGACTGACCGTTCTCCATCACTGTCATTTTGTCTTTTGGAGAATGTCATATAAATGGAGTCATACCCTATGTAACTTTTGAAGCTGGCTTCCTTCCCTCAACACAATGCCAATGAGATTTATCAAGTTGCTGCATACATCAGCACTTCATTCCTTTATATGGTTGGGTAGTATTCTATTATATGGATGCATCATTGTTTGTTTATCCATTCACCTATTTGAGAATATTTGGGTTGTTTTCAATTTGGGTGATTATAAATAAATAAATTTTAAAAAACATTGCCATCAAGTCAATCCCGACTTTGGGCAACCCCATGTGTTACAGAGTAGAACTAGCCAAGAAACTTGGCTGTAATCTTTATGGAAGCAGATCACCAGGCCTTTCTTCTGCGGTGCTGTGGGGTGGGTTCCAACCACTAACTTTTAAGTTAGTACCACCCAGGAGCCTTGTCATTATAACTAGAGCTGCTATAAATAGTGGTGTGCAGATTTTTGTGCGAACAAGTTTTCCTTTCTCTAGAGTAAATACCATATGTTTATGCAAATAATATACACATTACACATTTTTGGCCAACTGTGAAAGCCCCTCATGCATTATTTTCCTAAGTGTGCCATGCACGTTTTATGTGTGGGCATGTTATTTGGGAAAATATGGTACCCAGGAGTAGGACTGGTAGGTATATGTTTAACTTTATAAGAAACTGCCAAACTGTTTTCCAGAGGGATAGTTATCATTTTTCATTCCTACCAGCAATGTATGAGAGTTCTAGTTTCTCTACACCCTTGCCAGCACTTGGTTATTGACACTATTTTTTATTTTAGTCATTCAAATAGGTATGTGGTGGTATCTCATGGTTTTTAATTTGCATTTTCCTAATGGCTAATAATATTGAAAATCTTTTTACGTGCTTATCTGCAATCCATACATCACCTTTGATGAAGTGTCTCTTCAAGACTCTTGTCCATTTTTTAACTGGGTTATCGGTTTTCTTACAGATGAGTTTTGAAAATTCTTTATATATTCTGGAGGGAAATCCTTTGCCAGTGTTGTGAGACGATTTGTGTCCCTCAAAAAAAAAAAAAAAATGTTCGTGTCCTAGCACCCAGTACCTGTGCATGTGACCTTAATTGGAAATAGGGTCTTTACAAATGTAGTTAGTTAACAGAAGGTCATACTGGAGCAGGGCAGGCCATAATCCAGTATGACTGATGTCCTTATAAAAGAGGAGGAGACACAGACAGACACAGAGGGAGGATGACCATATGAAGACAGAGGCAGAGACTGAAGTGATGCATCTACAAGCCAAGGAATGCCAAGAACCACCAGAAGCTAGAAAGAGGCAAGGAAGGACTCCTCCCCTAGAGCCTTGACAGAGAGCATGGCCCTGTTGGCACCTTGATTTCAGACTTGTAGCCTCCAGAACTGATACATTTCCATTGTTTTAAGCTGTCCAGTTTGTGGTACTGTTACGACAGTTTTAGGAAACTAACAGAGTCAGATATGTGATTTATAAATAATTTCTCCCAGTCTACAGCTTGTCTTTTCATTCTCTTAACAGTCTCTCTCTTAGGAAAAAAAAAAAAAAGTTTAATTTTGATGAAGTCCAATTTATCAACATTTCCTCTTATGATTCATGCTTTTGGTGTCATGTCTAAAAATTCTTTGCTTAACCCTGGTTAGGTTACAAAGATTTTTCTCCTATGTTTCCTTCTAAACATTATCAAGTTTTATGTTTTGTATTTAGATCTATTCATTTTGAGTTAATTTCTGTATATGGTATAAAGTTTAGGTCAAGGCAGAAGAACTGGATGGTGCCCAGCTACCACCAATGACCGCCCTGACAGGAAACACAACAGAGAGTCCCTGACGGAGCAGGAGAAAAGTAGGGTGCAGAACTGAAATTCTAGTAAAAAGACCAGATTGAGTGAGACTGGAGGAACCCCAGAAGATATGACCCCTGGACTCTCTGTTAACGCAGAACTAAAACCATTCCCGAAGCCAACTGTTCAGACAAAGATTAGACTGGACTATAAGACATAAAACGATACTCATGAAGAGTGTGCTTCTTAGTTCAAGTAGATACATGAGACTAAATGGGCACCTCCTGTCAGGAGGCGAGATGAGAAGGCAGAAAGGGACAGGAGCTGGTTGAATGGGCACAGGAAATCCAGGGTGGAAAGGAGGAGTGTGCTGTCACATTATAGGGATAGCAACTAGGGTCACATAACAATGTCTGCATAACATCTTGTATGAGAAACTAACTTGAGCTGTAAACTTTCCCCTAAAGTACAATTAAAAAAAAAAAGTTTAGCTCAAGGCTCTTTTTTTTTTTTTTTTTAAATTTGGGTTTCCAATTGTTTCAGCACAATTTGTTGAAAAGGCTATCCTTTCTCCACTGAATTGCCTTTGCAACTTTCTCAAAGATCAGTTGCCATGTTTGTATGATTTATTTCTGGACTCTCTATTCCGTCCCATTAATCTATGTGCCAATCCCTTCACCAGTATCACTCTGTATCGGCTATGATAGCTTTATAGTAAGTCTTAAACTTGTGTAGTATGTTACCTCCAATTCATTATTCTTTTTCAAAATTGTTTTTGGCTCTTCTAGTTCCTTCCCCTTTCCATATAAATTTTAGAATCAGCTTATCTAAATCTACAAAAAATGTATAAAAATCCCACTGGGATTTAAATTGGAATTATGTTTATATATAGATTAATTCGGAAAGAAATGACATTTTGACTATGGTAAGTCTTTCAGTCCATAAAATACACGTCTCTCCATTTATTCAGAACTTCTTTGATTTCACCAAAGATTAACTACAATGAGAATAATGATGTCCAGGAAAGGAACTGTTTTCTAATTGTCAGCACACAGATCCTGTACATATTTTCCTTTGGAAATAATATTGTTGTTTAAACTTTGCTTTCCAATTGTTCATTGCTAGTGTATAGAAATACAATCAATTGTTCTGTGTTGATCTTGTATCCTGTGATCTCACTAAACTCATTTATTCATTCTAGGAGGTTTTTGTCTTTATAGATTCCTTGGGATTATCTACATAGACAACCATGTTGTCTGCGAATAGGGCAATTTAATTTCTTCCTTCCCAATCTGTATGTCTTTTATTTTGTTCCCGTGCCTTATTATCCTGGCTACAACTTCCATAAATGTTGAATACGATGTTGAATGGTGAGAGTGGACATCCTTGGCTTAGGGGAAAATCATTCAGTCTTTCACCATTAAGTACGCTGTTAACTAATGGGTTTTTGTAGACAACCTTGATTGTGTTGAAGAAGTTCCCTCTTACTCCTAGTTTGTTGAGTTTTTGCCCTAATGGATGTTGAATTTTGTCAAATGCTTTTTATGCATCAATTGATATGATTATGAGGTTCTTCTTGGCTGTTTGTTGTTGTTAGGTGCCGTCAAGTCAGTTTTAACTCACGGAAAACAGAAAGAAACACTGTCCGGTCCTGCACCATACCCACATTCATTGCTATGTCTGAGCCCACTGTTGCAGCCACTGTGTCAATCTATCTCGTTGAGAGTGTTCCTTTTGAGTGACCCTCTACTTTACCAAGCTTGATGTCCTTCTCCAGGAACTGGTTCCTCCTGATAACATGTCCAAAGTATGGGAGACGAAGTCTTGCCATCCTTGCTTCTAAGGAACATTCTGGCTGTACTTTTTCCAAGACAGATTTGTTCATTCTTCTGGCAGTCCATGGTATATTCAATATTCTTTGCCAACACCATAATTCAAAGGCGTCAATTCTTCTTTGGTATTCCTTATTCACTGCCCAGCTTTCGCATGCATATGAGACGACTAAAAATACCATGGCTTGGCTCAGGTGCACCTTAGTCCTTAAAGTGACATCTTTACCTTTTAAAACTTTGAAGAGGTCTTTTGCAGCAGACTTGCCCAATGCAATATGTCGTTTGATTTCTTGACTGCTGCTTCCGTGGGCGCTGACTGTGGATCTTTAGACTGCTAGTATGTTGAACTGCATTAATTGACTTTCAACCATCAAACAAAGAATTCAAGAGGAAAATATTAAATTTACCATTTCTGTTACTTCTTCTTCATTCCTCGTGTTCCAAGTTTCCCTCTGGTTATCATTTCCCTTCTATCTGAAGAAATTCCTCTAGCAATTATTTTAGGACATGTCTGCTGTCAATAAATTCTCTTAGTTTCAGTTCATCTGAGAATGTCTTTATTTCACCTTCATTCCTGCACAATATCTTTGCTGAATATAGAAATCTGGGTTCACAGCTCTTCCTGTTAGCACTTTTTAAGTGTTATTCCATTTTCCTCTGGCCTCCACTGTTTCTAATGATGAATCTAAATTGTTTTTTTCCCTATAAAGAATGCATCATTTTTCTCTGGCTTCTTTAAAGACTTTTTGTGTTTAGTTTTCAGCAGTTTATGATGTGTCTGGGTGTGGATTTCTTTGGATTTATATCCAGGGTTCACTGAACTATTTTTAGATCTGTGGGTTTATGTTTTTTGCCAAATTTGAAAATCTTTCGCTATTATCTCTTCACTAATTTTTTTCTGCACCATACTCTTTTTTCTCTACTGAGACTCCAGTAACACAGGCGTTAACCTTTTTGGTATTGTCCCATAGGTACCTGAGGCTCTGTTCATTCTTATCCAAACATCTTTCTTTCTGTTGTTCAGACTGACAATTTCTATTGCTCTATGTCCAAGTTCACAGACTCTTTCTTCTGTCCTCTCCATTCTGCTATTAAGCCTATCTAGTGAGTTTATTTTGGTCATTTTTCAGTTCTAAAATTTTCCATTCTTCTTTATATTTTCTATTTATTTGCTGAGACTGTCTATCTTTTCATTTGTTTCAAGAGTTTCACCCTTGTTTCTTGAAGCATATTTATAACAGCTGCTTTAAAGTCTGATAACTCCAACATCTGTATCATCTCAGTGTTGACTTTCTCAGTCTGTTGATTGTCTTTTTCCATACAAGTTGAGATTTTCCTGTTTTACCAATTAATTGGTATGGCAAGTAATTTTAGACTGTATTCTGGACATTTTGAATATTATGTTACAAGATTCTGAATCTTGTTAAATCCTATGAAGAATGCTGATATTTTTGTCTTAGCAGAAATCATCCCAGTTGGGTTCAGGCCACAATTTACAACCAGCCTTCTGTTGGTTGTGGTTTCAATGTCAGTTCCATCTTCAAAGTCTTCACAATGCTATTCAGATCTCTCCCGCACACGTGCTACACAGCAGGCAACTCAGAGACTAGGCTGTAGTCTATCTCATGGTTTAGTTTTCAAAGTCTTTATTATGCTGTTTCGGGTTAGATTCAAATATGTGCAGCTTGTGGGTTAGCCCAGGATTTCACAAACAACTTTATGGGGTTGCTTTCCAAGCTCCTTCCTCTCCACAAGCTCCTAGTACTTTCCAGTCCCTGGGGCTTTCCTTTTCAATCCTCTGATCAGACAGCTGGGATTTGATTATCCTGCTCTGCTGCACACTTCCCATGATTGTTCCTAAATCCAAGGCCAAGCAGAAGAAGGACAGAGTGCTCTTTTTAAAGAAGGACAGAGTGTATAAAAGAGCTAAAGTACTCATCTATCATTCTAAGAGGTCAACAGACAATGTTTAAAATTGATAACCTAAGAAACAGGAGTAATAGCACATTACTTAGAAAATAAAGGTAAATATCATAAGTTGGAAATGACTCGATGGCAACTGGCTTTTGTTTTGTTTTGTTTTGTCTTTATCTTAAATCACAGTTAAGAGTTGAAAGTGAGTGACAAGACCAGACTTAATGGTCTGACTGATACTGGAGGAACCCCAGAGAGCATGGCCCCCGGACTCTCTGTCAAGTGACCACTGAAACCATTCCTGAGGCCAACTCTTCAGTCAAAGATTAGACTGGACTATGGGACATAAAATGATACTCATGAAGAGTGTGCTTCTTAGCTCAAGTAGATACATGAGACTAAATGGGTAGCTCCTGTCTGAAGGTGAGATGAGAAGGCAGAGAGGGTCAGGAGCTGGTTGAATGGATACGGGAAATCAGGGTTGGAAAGGAGGAATGTGCTGTCACCGTATAGGGAGAGCAATTAGGGGCACACAACAATGTACGTATAAATTTTTGTATGAGAGACTAACTTGAATTGTCAATTTTCACTTAAAGTACAACAATAAAATAAAATTTAAAAAAAAAAGAGTTGAAAGTGGTTGCGTTTGGGGAGGTAAATTTTAAAAAAAAAAACAATTATTTATTCAAGGAGGAGTTGTTTAAGAAAAAAAACATAATCATAGTATACTACTCAGCTTCATAATAAATAACACTGAAATAGTCATAACATAAACTCTAAAATTTACTTAGCCAAAAATTATGGAATATTTATAATTACATATGTACATCTTTCCTTGATTAATATCTGCCACTCCCACACAACCATTCCAATGGTAACAGAGATATTTTTCCTAGAATATATCTAGGTGCTCAATAAAAATTAATTGCATGAATGAATGAGATAAAGAATTAACTAAGGGAGAGGGGCAGAGTGTAGGCAAACACAAGAATGATGCCTAGGTTTCCAATCTGTCTAACTGTACATATGCTGGCACCCTTATATAAGATATACAGAAGAGACAAAGGAGGAACAGATTTTATAGTGCAGGACAGTGAATTAAGTTTGTGAGTAGTTTTATTAATTATATCTATTTAGAGTAGTAGTTCTCAACCAGGGGCAATTTTGCCCCCCAGGAGACATTCGGCAATATCTGGAGACACTGTGGGTCATCACATTTAATGGGGTAATATTGACCATCTAGTGGGATGCTGCTAAATATCCTCCAATCTATGGGACAGCCCCAACAACAAAGAACGGTTCTGTGCAAAATGTCAATAGAAATTCTAATTTACAAGTTGTGTTCCTTGTGAAAACTGGCAGTATTTGATATACACTCACTCCTCACTTATCAACATAGTTAGGCTCCAAAGACCAAGTCATTATGGGAAAATCAGCATTCTGTAAAAATGGAAGATGACCACATCAGATCACAAAATATTATGGACCCAAGAGGCAACAATGTAGGTGGGTACTATATTTCCCACTGGTCAAGAAAGGGTTATTGCCAGACATATGTCATTAATGTACAAAATAGTTGGATAGCAGATTTGTTTTTACTATTGTTGTAAATGCAAAATGTCAGATAACAAGACAATCTATAAGTGAGGAGGTAGGTGTATTTGTGTCCTTAAGGTAGACAAACCTTCAAAAGACCCAAGCCACAATACAGTTTAAACAGTTACAAAGAAAAGAAAATGCAGTGGCATAACAAGCTTAAAATTAAACAGGATAAATATTTATTTATATACACACATACAGAGAGCAAGAGAGAGAATGGCAACAGTTTCAGGATTCCTGATGCCAATTTTATAATAAGGGCTCAAAGTAGACCATGTGGGAATACAGCAAAACACGGTCCTGTAATGAGAGATATTCTTTATAATAAGAAAAGCGGCACAATCAGCTGTTCCCTTAGTCAGGTCCCCAGAGCATTACCCAAACCATAAATAACAACACTGGAGATCATCTTTGTGGCTAGAGTCAGCGTACAAGTGAAATACTGAAATAACAGACAAATGAGACAACTGAGTATAAGAAGATTCATATTTGCACTGCAGAAACAAACTAGGACACATTTTAGGACTGTAAAGAGAAGAATCACACAGAAAAACCAAAGTGGAAGTCCTGCCACATGTCTCAGCTGGCATGGGGGCTTCCATCCAAAGTCTGTAGCAGCCCAGGTCACTATGGAAGAGCCCCAGGGCCATCAGCGGGCAGGGAGACAGACGGCCAGGGGATGCGACCCCTCACACACACACATCAACTAGCCCTGCCCTGCTTTCTTTCTGTTTTCCTTGCCATGCTATGTTTAAGAGCGTCATTTAGATCAAAGTCTTATCTACTCTGAGGTTATCAGAATGATGTCAGATTTACAAGAAGTACAACCTTTTTTTTAATGTTTCTTTTCTTCCTTTTTTTCTTTTTCACTCCTCATTTCCCACTCCCCCAGCCCCTGACAACCACTAATCTACTTTCTGTCTCTATGCATTTGCCTATTCTAGATATTTCATAAAAATGGAATCATATAACATTTGTTCTTTTGTGACTAATTTCACTCAACATCATGTTTTCAAGGTTCATTCATGCCATGGCATGATTTAGAACTTCATTCCTCTTTATGGCTGGGTAACAGTCCACTGCATACATGTACCACATTTTGTTCATCCATTCATCCATTGATGGACACTAGGGTTGTTTCCACCTTTTAGCTGCTACTTTCATTTGCATTTCTACACTAGGGTTTACAGACAGTTTCATTTCAAAAATTTTTTTTATAAAGAGTATCTGCCTTGAGCATTATGCTCTTTTAAAAACTCTATGGGATCAAATAGACAACAGCAACTCAAAAAATTAGATAGGAACCTTAGGGGCTTGTGAGTTTATGCTAATGGGGGAGGAACAATTCAGAAAAGGAAGTTGAGAATGGTTACACAATATGAAGAATGTAATCAATGTCACTGAATTGCACATGTAGAAATTGCTGAATTGGTGTATGTTTTGCTGGGTATATTTTTGACAAAAACAAAAAGTGAAATAAATTTTAAAAATAAATACATAAACCTCAAAAAAAAGTTTTTTAAAAAACCTGAGACTCCCTGCTGTAGTCCAGCCCTTGTGCACAGTCAAGAAAGCCGAGGTCCAGTGGGCATGAGGGACAAACTCACAAAGGTGAGCCAGCCTGGAAGCCAGACCACCCAGACCCACCATAGTATTTGTTCCACTAGAAAACCCACTGGCAGGGGTCACACGGAGCCTGTTCTCTAATGTTCCAAGCATCCTTTGTAAAAAGACACAGACAGCACAGGTCCTGCATTGCATGTGCACATGAGAGGCATGGGCCCCATGAATTACCGCTGGAGACTGTGTGCCGGGAGGTTATAAGGCCCGAGGTAAAAGTGGCCTCGTTGAGTTTGCATTTGACTAGTACTCAGCAGTCAGACTCAGTGTTTTAAAGGCATATCCATGACATGAAAAAATCCCGCTCACAAAACATCTGGAAACATATTTGTCAACTTCTCGTAATGAAAGAACCTTCTAGAAGCTCCCTGGAGAAGAAGCATGCTTAAGAAGATGTAACAGCTTACCTCTTCGGAGCTCATGCTGGCTGAGGGCACCTTGTAGACCAGACAGTGAGAGGGGCCAGGCTGGGTCCCGCCCTGCAGAGGTAAGGTCACCCGCCCAGAGCCGGTGTCCAGCCCAGGGCTCCAGATGGCCCAGCGAACCATGTACATGCACGCCAAGTTGGATAGTGAGGTGGCAGACGCTGCCTAGAGGTGAAACAGAGCACAGTTGGGCAAGAGTCATCACAAAGTCACCTGGGCAGGGGACTCAACCTTGCTTTCAGACTCAAAATTTACCCAGAGCTCAGTGTGAGTGAGCTGCACTCAGCTACTAACCTAAAGGTTGGAGGTTTGAACCCACCCAGCAGCACTGCAGAAAAAAGGCCTAGTGATCTTCCGTAAAGATTAGAGCCAAGAAACCCCTGTGGTGGATGGTTCTACTCTGTAACACAGGGGTCTCAATGAGTCAGAATAGACTTGATAGCAATGGGTTTGGTTTTTATTTTTCAGTGCCACAAGCACCGGGACCGTCAGTTCCACTTGACAAAAGAAGGCACTGAGGCGGATGACAGAACAGCCATCACACAGACAGCAGGGAAGCCCCCTCCCCTTCTGAGACTCCACCCCTAACCAGGACCCCCTTCCCACCCAGACGCGTCTCCTTCTCTGGCTCAGGCTGCAATGGCTTCCCTCTTAAAGATGCTCATCGGTGCTTAGAAAGCAACGCCATTTTAATGGCTCACCTGCTCCTATAGGAGCCCTGGTGGTGCAGTGGTTAAGCACTTGGCTGCTAACGGAAAGGTCAACGATTCTAATTCACCAGCTTCTCCAAGGGATAAAGATGTGGTAGTCAGCTTCCGTAAAGATTTACAGCATTAGAAACCCTACGGGGCAGTTCCAGTCTTTCCTACAGGGCTGCTATGAGTTGGAATCAACTCGATAACAATGGGTTTTTGCTCCTGTAAGGATTGTTCTGCCAGTATGTCAACACTTCGTACTTTAATCCATTAGGCAAATACCAGGAGCAGCACTTTACATTCGTGATTAGAAACTTTATAAGAAAATGAAGGATACACAGGGATATTCAATTTCAGGCTGTGAGTGCACACTTTCTCATTTTTAAGTGTGCATTTTATATATGTGACTTTATATGTAATAGTGCAATCAATCAGATCAAATTTCATACAGCATACCTCTTTTTACCTTCTCTATCACTGGTCAAATGAAGGGAAAGAGGACACTAAGAAAACCCTTAGGATAAGTGTGCCACATTAAAAGGCATTTTGACAAATAAGGTTTCAGAGCTCGACTCAGCAAAGCATTTTAAAGTTATCACTCTCATCCTTTTATTTAAAGAGAAGTAAGAATAAAGCTAAACTCCAGCCTTGGTCAGGGACTGAAATCCCCGCTCAGCTCGGCGACAAGGTTTGTGATTTACTATCACTGTCACGTACAAGGGGACTTCAGAGATGAGCTGCTTTAGATCGAGGACTGGCTGACAGGTGAGCAGGCTCCTTGGGAAGATGGAGTGCAGAAGCATCACCTGGGAAGGTGAATTCTCTGCCTCAGGTCCAGGGTTCACACCACACCAGTCAGGCTGGGGGCCGGAAAGGAGCAATTTCCACCCCAAAGGGGACTAGCCTGCATGAATCCTGAGCAGCTCGGTCCAAACCTTTTGCCCAGGGATGAGCCAGACAAAGAGCAGCAGCCAAGCCTGCCTCAGACCCAGACACTGAGCCTCGATGGTGACACGAGAGAGAGCAGCAGACCAAAGGTAACCAGTGATCAGTTGCCATCAAGTGGATTCCAACTCACGGAGACACCCCGTGTGTCAGAGTAGAAGTGTGCTCCATAAGGTTTTCAGCGGCTAATTTTTTCAGAAATAGATCGCCAGGCCTGTCTTCCGAGGTGCCTCTGGGTAGACTTGAACCTCCACACTTTCAGTTAGTAGCCAAGCACTTACCTGCCTGTGCCACCCAGGGACTCCTAGACCAAAGGTGGTGGTGGTTGCTGTCAGGTCGACTCCAGCTCATACAACCCTACGTATGCAGAGTAGAACTGTACTCCATAGGGTTTCAAGGCTGTAATCTTTCAAAAGCAGATGGCCAGGCCTGTCTTCCAAGGCACCTCTGGGTAGGTTCAAACTGTCAAACTTTTGGCTAGTTGTTGAGCATTTAACCATTTGTGCCACCCAGGAACTCCTAAACCAAGGGCAGTAGGTATTAAAATGAGTGGGAAGAATGGGACTTGAGCACAGCATCCCACTTCCTAATGCTTTCTTCACGGGCAGCAGAGAGACAGCTACGCCCTTCTGGGTGGGAGGCAAAAGGGGAAGAGGAGTGCGGAGAATGGGGGCTCCTCGCCACCTCTGGGCAGCCCTGGCTGAGCTGAGGCTGTTCCTGTAAGCATGGCCAGGGCACTCACCTGGCAGCCCTTCCCAGCTGCATTCTGTGGTCACGGGTGGGGACGGGGGGGCTGACCCTAAAGGAGGGGCCTCCCACTCCTGGAGAGGCACTGAGGCCACACCTGCTGGACAGGTGAACAGCACCCTATACATGGAAAGGAGGTACCCAGGAGCACCCGCTCACCTGGGATGCACCAGGAGCCAAGGAGGAAAGTGGGGCTCCAGCAGGGGTGGGCCAGGGTTGGCGGGTCTTGCTTATTTGGCTAGACGTGGGTGAGAAGCTGTGCCATCGTCACTGCCAGGACCAAGGCAAAGCCCCAGATGCACCCAAAAGGACTGGTGGAATCTTGAAGCAAATGGCTTGATGAGGGTTGGGATTTACCAAGCTTAACTCTTGCCAAGTTCACGTGCAAGCAAGTCCAAGTACAGAAATGGAGACAGGGCTGACTTCCAGATTGTGTCTTGCTGCTTCTATTCCATCCTGTTACAGCCTTCACAGCCACACAGGGAAAATCCAGACTCACCGTCTGGTTTTGAATTAACGTCTCTTTCCAGAGCCCCCATCATAGCTGGTGTTATCAGACCTCAAAGCATCCACTTCAGCAGGGCCCTGTCTGATCCTTCACGAGGACTAAATTTTAGCTCACATGCTAGGCTAACGCCACATGCGTGCCGCCCTACAGGGACGGGTGGGGACTTGGGTCCCTGTCAACTCAATGAGGAAAACACCCACATCCCTCTGTCCTGGAGGTACAAGCACTTCTGAGAAAAGTAAGAAACCCAAGCACATGACTCTGTGCCACACTTTCAAGGTTTGCCTGATACAAAACAACGTCTGTTTCTTCTTCATCCAGTTAGCTGGGTGACAGATTACAAAACGGTACTGAGCAAAATCACAGTGTATCAACCAAAGTTAATTTTACTTTTAAAGAGAAACAGATTAATAATCATTATAAATACATTAGGGAAAATGGCCACTAAAAGGAAACAACAACAAAAAGTACTACGATCCAATAATGTTTTGACTATTTTTGCAAAACAGTCTTCTGTAAAATACAGGTTATTACAGGATGAAAAATAAAATAGACATCCAAATTTTCATGCTACTAATGCAATTCCTTTGGGTTCAAATTTTCAAATTAGGTGATTCCAATAGCTGATCTTCCAAATCCAGAGTTGTTTTTGGTTTTTCAGTTCTCAATCAATATCAATCTCCTCCATGTGGAGTATCAGTCAGTTACATAAATATCCATTTTCCTCACTTTTGTTTTGAACAGCTCAAACAAAAGATGGTTAGTGAGTTATTGATCACTCCTTCTCAAAGACTTCAGCAGGGTCATGAGGGATTGGCAGCAGCTCCACTGCCATACATCAACCTGCATTCTCTCAGAGCAGCCCATGGTGGTACCTGCAGCTGAGAACCTCCCTAAAGCCCACCTACTCCAGGGAGGTCAGGTACATCAAAGCATGTAGATGGCCCAAGAGCAATTAACTGGGCAGCATAAGGCTCCTTCCATTAGTGACTTCAGGAATCTGTGGTTGGCACAAACAGTTAAGTGACCAGCTAGTAACCAAAAGGCTGGCAGTTCGAACACACCCAGAGGTACCTCAGAAGAAAGGCCTGGTGATCTACTTCCAAAAAATCAGCCACTGAAAACACTATGAAGCACAGTTCTACTCTCACACACATGGGGTCTCCATGAGTTGGAACTGACTCGACAGCATCTAGTTTGTTTTTTTATTAGTGACTTCAGCTACTTTATAATTTCTTATCTTGTCAATGTTCCAGACACTGTAATCTCATCGAATTCTCATAACCACTATGAAACGGCAACCACAAGTTTGCAGAACATGGCTGAGCAAGAACAAAGTCTGACCTAGATGCACAGACCAGGGTCCCGACCCCGGCACATGGACCAGGGGCCTGACCCTGATGCACGGACCAGGGGCCTCTTCTGGAGGCAAAGCCAGGTGTCTACACCTGCACAGCCATGGACATTGGCAACTCAGAGCTCAGAAGAGGGCCCACGTTCGAGGTTCTCTTCCAATGCCAGGTTTTCCGGCATTCTCACTGAGGACACAGTTGTTGAGGTCAACATCACAAGGCCTGAGGAATGGAATCCCATCCAGGTGAAGAGTGAGGAAAGACTCAGATATCCAAGGCCAGGGTCTTTACCTCTCCCTCCTCACTGAGGAACTCAAGGAGTCTAGGGGCTGGGGCGATGCCACTGCACAAAGCAATTCCAAATGTTCCAAGGGAGGCTCAAGAATCAGATATCAGCCTAAAGTTATTTGTTCCATAAGATGGATCAATTATATGCCGAAACTTTCTCCAAATTAGACATACCGAGGCTTTGGCAGCTGCTATAGGCTAATCTCCTTCATACACATTCATGGTGAAAAATAAAACCTAACAACATATAATTAAGGTGATTTATTACATCTCTGTATCAAGCAGTATAGGCAGTGTCACTTAAAACCTCAGTAATCATTTGATGGGCAATATTTTCATTTTCATTTCATTCCATTCCTGTGAGCAACTATTTTTAAACATATCCATGAGCAACAAAGAAAAACCGGGGAAGGTTTCAAAGAAAGTTACACAACCTCAAATAACTTTCACACTGTCCAGAGGGTTTATAACCCTTTGACCCTCTTTGTACAGCAGACATCAACTTAATAAGGATTGGAAGCAGCAGCAGCAGAGAGACTGTTGCAAGTTGGGAGGTGTGACCATATTGTTTTAAGCCACCTAGTGTGTGGAAACTTGTCGCAGCAGCCACAGGAAATTAATACAGTGGTG